TTTCAGTCACGGTATACTCTCAGACCACCCGCAAATCCAGAAGCCCAGACCGCAATGCCCGAGCGCCAACGGCCCTCATCCTCCATCAGCTGCTTACTGAGGCTGACTGTGCAGAGCCACTGAGCTTTAGCCAGGCTATTGTGTATGCTTCTGTCTTTGCTTTCGCGATACTTCTAGGGTGCAGGGTAGAGGCCACTTGGTCAGACTGCTGGGCACATCTCATGTGGAGGGTTTTCAGCGCCATAGTCAACCTGCGTTGCGCAGCGAGATTCAGGGCATTCGGAATCAAGGTTTTTTACTCTCGGCTTCAGACTTCTAGGAGCTTGGGATTTACGGGTGTGCCAACTAGAGCCTCTGTTCGACGATGTAGGCTCAGCCGCACGTAAACATGAATCGCAGGCTGGTATGACGGCACGGCAAAAGGGTCCTTGCAGAGCCATGTCGCTTGAGTCGAAGGCCCAGAACCCCCTCCTCCCCCCTATGAGTCCTAGGGACCCGGAAGCCCTGGCTCGAATTAGATTGGGCTTCTGGGCTGGGCTTGCCCGGTTGCGTTGGCTCGATAGCCTTTTCCGGTTAGGGCTAGGGTTTAGGGCTTGTGTGTGTTTTTCATACATGTCTTGAACATTCTTGAACCGTGATTCCCACGCCCATGTCCTGCATGCTTCCACCTGAAAGGATGCTACTCTAGAATTACGCAAGTTTACATGGAAGTCTTAAGGTAGGTAGGTTGCCTGTATGCTTGCCCACGTCTTTTCGCAGCCAATCTGTCTAGAATGTCTGCAAGCTTATTTCATCGCGCTGGCCTACGGTTGCGGTTTGGCGCTTCTCGAGATCGCGGTGTGGAGTGCTCCGTGTTGTTTTTAATGCGTTTGTATGTATAGTGTACAGAAATAGAATGTAAACAAAGATTTTACAACGGCATCTACATCATAAACTCGTCAGCAGCAGTATCGTTACCACCATGAGCCCGGATCATGGACGGTCAATGCTGTGTCATCGTCATAATCATCGTCAGACAGCGCGCTGTTGCTGCCAATATATCCTTGTGGTCATCCTCATCCTCATTTTGTATTCTCTCGCTCGACATCATCATGAACACAAGGAACAACTGATAAAGTAATTCTGGCGGTGGGGAGGCACGCAAAAACGTATATAACCACGGAACGTTGGAGTTACAACAGCTGCCGAATCAGCTCCAGGAAGCCGTTTTGGCTTGAAGTTCGCGCACCGCGTGCCGTCCCGGCGCGGGGTGCTGCAACCAGGTCCGGTGTGCAATGGGGTCGAAACTTGGGGTTTAGGATATCCGCTGTGACTAGTAGCTAGTAGGGTAGGAGTGGAGGGATGTTGGATGTGGGGCTTCACGTCCGGAGCATGGTGTCCGCTCGATTCTAGTCTCCCTTAGCCCTTCGCCCTACAACTTAGAGACAGGGCCGAGTAGCTCAACACACCGTGCACGGCTGATGCATGTCGTGCGACCACAACAACCTACAGACTGTTGGCTTAAGATGTGCAAAGATCGATGCGAGTCGAGGAGACATGTTTGTTGCAATGAGGTTGGGATGGGGATTCTAATAGCTGGGGCTCAACTCAAGGATTTTGGGATTCCACCGCCAGCAAGACGAGCAGCAACATTTATAGGTACGAAGCGAAACCACCGATGCTACATCACCCTACAGCAAACGGACACACCTCTCACTGAACCTACCTGATCCAAACCGACAGGCTCAAGTGCCTCTATGTTCGGTTCCATTGTAGCAGGGCAGGACTTCATGAAGGTCTTGGCCGTGAGTTGTGAATACTATTTGTTGCCTCGGGCCGTACATTGGTCGTCTTGTCGGTAAGCAGGGCCTGCATTGGAGGACCTTAACAAAGTCCACACCAAACTCACTCCCCTACAACTTTATGTACTATAATCATGGACCTCCCTTGGAGCCCAAAGTGGCACCGCACCACTGCCTCTACATCAGGGCCATGATCAAGTTCATCTTGATGGTTAACAAGCAGGGTCAGACCCGACTAGTCATCCTCTCAGTTGCTCCGTAAAGGTGTGCGCCAACTGTCGTTTACACCTTGGGTCGCTCGTTTCGTGCTCATGCTATGTATAGGGTTTCGGCATGACGACAGAACTGGTAACGACAACGTCTTTTGCGCCGATGAGGAGGACGAGGAGGAGGAGCAGGACCAGGAGCAGGAGGAGCAGGAGGAGGAGGAGGAGGATGAAAATCGTCTCATGATGTTGACGAAAGCACGCATCAGGCCTTGCAGAGTACCCCCCCGACCCTCATAGTTGTTGTCCCCGGGTCTCGGCGTGTTGATCATGGGTGGGGTGTCCAACAAGTTTTCCGTGTGCTTGCATGCGCGCAAGCGTGAGTGAGTGCGAGAATATGCTGCAAGGCCAACCTGAACATTGAATGGCAGATATCACCTAATGACCTAATGGTATTGATAGGTTACGGAGTGGAAGCATAATTCTTGGTCCGATTTCACTGAGATCGCTTTGACGCGATCCGGTACTTCCATTGCACACCCAGACGGTCCTGCAACATAAAAATCACGCGACTTGCGATTGACGGCGTTCACAGAGCTGAGGGAGGTTACGCTTCCAGAACTTGCTGTATTAGCCGTTTTGGTGTCAGGTTTCAGGTCGGAGCACTCTAGATTTTGAGTAAACCGAGGTGCTGCGATATTGACCGCAATCTTGGCTAGTAGGAAACCCTCCGATGGTCATGTTAGTAGACCTGTGTGTCCGTTCTTTCGAGGCCTGACTGAAAGCATCGCTCATTTGGCAGGGAAGTCGCGCTGGGGTGGTTGCAGCGTTTCCAAGTGTAGACAAGCAGTAACGCAAAGAGGATGATCTGCTGAGGCACAGTACTACGAGTTTCTCAGTGTCCGTGAGAGAGTGACTCTTGAGGGCGAGCTCATCCGTGCGGTGCCGAGCTTTCCTCAGTGGCTTTCGGGTTTAGATATGAACTGGATGAGGCAATCCGGCTTTCTGCCCTCTCAGCGTTCATTCACATCATTCATGCTACCTGAAAATACAGTATGTACAAGTACTCCGAAGCTATCTGTGACTGCAGACTGAGTTAGCGGTCTGTGTGATTGGCCGCGAAACAGCGGCTAACTTGTTAAGGCGTTGCAGTGCCGACAGCGCCCCCATACCTTCAGGCACTGAACACAGCAATCCCCTTCGAGTAGTAATTCCCTCCAGCAAGAAGCCTGAACCTCGGCTGCGTGAAACAGAAACGAGACAGGCGCTGCTTTGTGCCGAGGATTCCAGCCCTGCAAATCCTTTAAATAATCCCGGGTCGAAGTGCAAGAGAAAGCTTCGTGAGGCAAGAGCGAAAGCACCGTGAGAGTCAAGCCCTGCATCTTCCGAGCATTGGATGCTAAGCCATCGAGTTCTTGTGCCCGGAGTCGTTGATCATCAGTCTTCTTTACATATTCATTAAATTCCCCCCCAATTAGTTGTGTGTCGTACATGCGACGCTGTATATATCCTTAGAAAGCCCTCTCAGCACCTTCTGCCTTCTACCAGTGGCATCTAGCAATATTGTGCCACAATACGTAAGCTCATAACGACGCCAATGTATGTATGTATGTATGTATGTATGTATGTATGTATGTATGTATGTAATAGATGTACCAAGAATATCTGCGCACACGACGTTCTGAATCTAGTTGTTGATGATGAGGTAAGTGCCTCTCCCGCAGCGAAAGCCAGTGCTCCTTCGTGGAGTACCGGGACTACCGCGTGGTATACAGGTTCCGACAGATTTTGGTGTATGTGCTGGTTGTTTTGGATGCAGGTTAGGGTTTAGAAATTGGAAGCTTGCGCGGACTCTGCTTGAGTCACACGCGCGCTCTAGCTTCCACTTAAGGATGCAGTTTGTATAAATCTTGGATAGCTTTGGTCCTCAAAGCCCACAAACAGTACGTGACTCTTTATGTATCTTGACTGCTCACGCCATTGAAGTGGAAGGCGTGTGTTTAGGATTATTGAGGCTTTTTTTTGTTTGCTGCAGTGTCGCTTCGTACTCGTGGCCCCCGAAGTCATGAAGTCGTGGTTTGTTCTCCTGATACCCTTCTGAACATCCCTTGAGCGAAGCATCCTTGAGCGAAGCATCTATGGCTTGGGAAGCCTCGGCTTCCAGTAGATGAGATCGAGTTGACTAGGCTGAACTTTCTTGGGGACTGCGAGCGTTTCGCAGGAAGCTCCAGGTGCAGTCAATATCCACTATGAATCGAGAAAGCTCTCATGTTCAGTTGTTTATTACATAAAGTGTGATGTTCTCGAAGCACCAGCACACATTCACACAGACGTGCAGCACATGCACACGGACACAAACAAACAAATACACACACACACACATATATATATATACATACATACATTTCCATTTCCATGCTTTCAGAGGTGTACGCAGCTTAATTAGGGCATGCATGGGTTTGGGCAGTGTGCACTCGAGTTGGACTCAGCCCACCCGGCGCAGAAATCTGCCCAGCCACACGATGACAGGCCACGAACTGTAGGGCCCAAAAGTCCAAGTGGGGCTCACAAAACGGAAACTTTACTGCATGGTGGTCATTGTGACCCCGCGCTGCCTCGTAAGCGATCCCAAGGCCTTACGCTGAAAAGGCTACGGTACAAGAAAAAGCAACTGTGCTATCGCTGCCTCCACGACAGCAAGCACGCGTACTCTACACAAACATTAATAAACCGCACACTCATGACCAAACTGCGCATACACAGAATGGCCTCAGCCTGAGCCTATTCCTCATGGGGCAAGAAAGGCAAACTGCAAGCTGTACGCCCCTTAACGCAAACACAAAATCTGTGCTTACTAACAGCCCGTAGCCACAAAGGCCACGATGTACGACGCAGGGCAGCAATCGACAATTGTCGTGCAGCCCTGTCTGTTCAATGTCCACAGGAAATGAACGGATCACTCAAACAAGATATACCTGCCACACGCAAACGTAGAGACACGTGCAGCTTCAACTCAGTTGAAACATTGTTCATCGTGGTGCGGTCCCCCTCCGAAGAGTTTTTGTTCGACGTCGACCTGGCCGAAGCTCATGCGGTCGGTGTGGATGCCAGTAGTCTGCTTCATGCCCTCCCATTCGTGACAGTAAGGGCCTTTTGCCTCACCGTCCTTCTGCATGACGGCGAAGTTCTTGTCCGACGCATCGCCCTCGACCTCGCCGAAGCGCATGGTGTCGGTGAGGATGCCGGTAGTCTGCTTCATGCCCTCCCGCTCGTGACAGTAAGGGCCTTTTGCCTCAACGTCCTTCTGCATGACGGCAAAGTTCTCGTCCGACGCATCGCCCTCGACCTTGCCGAAGCCCATGCGGTCGGTGTGGATGCCAGTAGTCTGCCCACTCGTGACAGTAAGGGCCTTTTGCTTCAACGTCCGTCTGCATGACGGCGAAGTTCTCGTCCAACGCATCGCCCTCGACCTTGCCGAAGCCCATGCGGTCGGTGTGGATGCCAGTAGTCTGCCCACTCGTGACAGTAAGGGCCTTTTGCCTCAACGTCCTTCTGCATGACGGCGAAGTTCTCGTCCAACGCATGAGTGGGTGCCGGTAGTCTGCTTCATGCCCTCCCGCTCGTGACAGTAAGGGCCTTTTGCCTCAACGTCCTTTTGCATGACGGCGAAGTCCTCGTCCAACACATCGCCCTCGACCTTGCCGAAGCCCATGCGGTCAGTGTGGATGCCGATAGTCTGTTTCATGCCCTCCCGCTCGTGACAGCAAGGGCCTTTTGCCTCACCGTCTTTCTGCATGACGGCGAAGTTCTCGTCCGACGCATCGCCCTCGACCTTGCCGAAGCCCATGCGGTCGGTGTGGATGCCGGTAGTCCATGCTTCATGCCCTCCCACTCGTGACAGTAGCGGCTTTTTGCCTCACCCTCCTTCTGCGTGATGGCGAAGTTCTCGTCCGACGCATCGCCCTCGACCTTGCCAAGGCGCATGATGTCGGTGTGGATGATATGCTTCATGCCTGAGGCATCATGCTCAACCTTTCCACAACTCAAAATGTTGGTGTGGACGCGGAATGGGAAGGTGATGTACTTGTCGCAGGCAGTCATCTCGTTGGGGGCATCCGTTGTGTGCTTGGTCGAAGACAGCTTACCTTCATCAGTCTCCTTGATCATTGCGTACCCCAGGTTCCCAGCGCCAGCTGGGCCATGGCAGAGGCGTACTAGGGCTTCGGCAAAGCAAGCTCAGCTGATAGAGCTGCTGGATCCGAAACCCTACATACATACATACATACATACATACATATCACACACACACACAAGAGTGCCTATGTATGTATGACCCGGTGTAGACATACACACAAGCACGTACGTGCATATATGGACCACAACACACACACACACTTTTATGGATCTATGATTCTCCATCCGTGTGTGTGGTCAACAATTCCCGCCCCCTCGCCCCTGTGGAATAGGACTTGGTTTCCCTTTGTTCTGCCTCTGGAACCGTGTACTGTCCTGTTGAGGTAGTGGTATGATCGCATGAATTGCGCTTCTAATGGATCACAAGGGGACACACAAACACGTGTGCCCGTGTACGTATGGCCCGGTGTATACATACGCACACAAACACATACATACATACATACATACATACATACATACATACATACATGCATACGTACATAGATACAGACATACATACGTATACATACATGCATACATACATACATACATACATACATATCGCACACACACATGTGCCTGTGTATGTATGGCCCGGTGTAGACATACACAAACGCACATACATACATATATGGACCATAACACACACACACACGCACTTTTTTACACTTATGGACCACTTATACGCCGCCTTGCTTGTGTGGAACAAGTGCGGTTCTCGTTTCGTACGTGCTGTCCTGGTACGGAAGTGCACTATACGTCCTTGTGCCGGTATGGGGGTGCTGCCTTATGGTATGTGCTATGTGTCCTCTTCTCTACTTCGTTTCCCCGTCCCATCGCCCCTGGTTTGGGCCACGAACGGGACAGCCCGCTTCCGCGGTTTTATGATTCTGCATCCGGGTGCTGCAGGTGAGGACGGACAACCCCCGCTCCAGGCCCTTGTATTTGAGACCCATACCAAAGGGGCGGGGGGCGGGGGGGCGAGGGGGCGGGCGCAGAAGGCACAGCGCACAACCATAGATAGATAGATAGATAGATAGATAGATAGATACATCTACCACACATACAAACACAACATTCTATGTCCGACGACAACATGCCGTCTTGACACTCGATGGCCAAAGTGAGCAAATGCCAAAGGATTCCTTGACTGGAGTATCAAATACCAATACCGGCAATTGCGTCGTCGAAGTTGCTGCCCAAACCCACGGATAATGCCGCACTGGCTTCAATCAGGTGACCCTCTTTAATGCCTTTTCCGGTGCTTGTTGAGTTGTTGTCATTTTGTTGACTTTGGCCGGGTGGATTTCTGTTTGGCTTGCGATGTCGTTTCTGCCGATGGTCCATCTTAATTGAGTAGAGGATCAGGAGAGGAGGTCTGAGCTAGGCATTATTTCCATTATTTCGGAGGCACCTCCGAAATCCCAAACCCCAAAATCCGGAAACCCTACGCCCTGAAGCCCCAACACCTGTTTTGCTCGTGCAGAACTCTACGGGAGCCCTTGAAGAACACGCACAAAACCTAAACCATCGCCCCCCCAGAAAGTCAAAGTCCAAACCAAACCAACCTCTTCTTTGGGGACGGTCGCCAGAGATACTAAGAACATAATGTGGGGGCCTTAATAATTAGAATAGGGTTTTGGGGGTTCCTTATTATAATTATAGTATAATGGGCCCCAAAACCCTATTCTGATTGTTAAGGCCCCTATATTAACTTGGAGAGGGGGGTGAGAGCTGGAGCTCGAGGCTGCCACAGCCTCTTTAAACTCTTGAAACCTTAAGCACTCTGACAGCACTCAATGCTTTATTTGAGTTCCAAAGTTACATTATTGAAAATGTAGGCAACATCAATGTTTGAAAAGTTGAACGGTGCCATTTCAATTTTATAGTTCTGACAACCTTTAAGCTCTTTGGACAATTATTTGGATGGCCAAACTAAATCTTCAACATATTTCAATAATGTCCAATGATCAATTTTTTTTGCAAAATTGAAGTGGAATTCGAACGGTGGGGCTTGGGCCCGAGTCTGACACAGAGCTTTTAAAATTGTTGATATTTTGATAAGTTTAAGAGTCTGAAAAAGCTGTTGTGACTGCCCAAATTCAATGATTGAACTTTTTATCGTATTCAAAAACTTTCAGAAAATACATGTAAATGGTGCACCGTCAAGGTTTGAAAATGCTTTTCCACTCTCAATGTTCTGAGTATTTCACATGTTTAAAATCAAACAACGATTAAGTGGCCGTCGGGTGGTGGGGCTGGGGCTCGAGACTGACACAGGCCTTTTAAAAGTTTAAATAGTTTTACCAATTCGAAAATCGTTGAGAGGCTAGTGGCGTGGTCGATTGAAATTTTCAATATATTGAAGATATCGAAAGTTTTAGACGGTGCCCTGCTTATTGAAATTTTATGAGTCTTAAGGGACTTAAACTTAAACATCTTAACTTTCTTATTGACGTGCCAAATGTAAATGTTTAACACATGTAATAAAAGACCTTTATCATGCTTACAAAGTTTAAACGGTGCTGTTCAAACTCGAAAAAGAACCTTCAACTTTGTGGGCGTCCAATTCACTTTTTTTACACTGTGCACAATGCTTAAGATGTAAATAGCCTCCGGCTGGATGGCCGTCCTTGCAGTATGTACACTGTATTCATGCAGACTCTACTGCATGCTAAAGAAAAGCACATTGCCAAACAGACCCTCAAGGCGTACACAACACTATATGGTACCCTGGAAGCAACCTAAATCCCTAAGCCCCAAACCCAGAAACTATATCATTTTGCTGCCAAGCTGTTGCACTGATGACAAACCTACGGGGACAAGGCGGTCTGTGGAGCGCAAGGGGATCACACTATTCAAGAGTGCACCATTAGATACTATTTGCAACCTTCCATGGCGACATTGCGGCGCGCACTTTTGTGGAGGGCCTGGAACCCTCAAAATGTCAGAAACTGCGGTAAACGATGGACAGAAACCCGTTTGCACGATTACAGCTCTCAAGGCTTCCCAGACGTCTGAGCATGGGAAGAGCCAACAGAGACAAACTTGGAGATTTCAAGGTTGCACTTTGAGCTTAGAACTTAGACCAAGCATACGGTACCACGCCCGAATCAAGACTGACTGTAGCGCCCACCTTCACTGTCGTTATGTTCAGAGCTTGATGGCGTAGACAGTAGACATGTACTTGCAGGGCTTACTAGCTCCAAGAAGGTTGCAACACGTGCTTTTACGACTCAGGACTTCACAAGATGCTGATCACCTGTATGGATATGGATGTCATGCTGCTTCGCAGTTCAGAGCGCTTTCCAAGATCAATTGAAAGCCCGGTGACAGGCGCTGGGCGGAGTGCAGCAGGCACCAGGTCCTTCGACTCCGAGTAGCTCCATGACTAGCTAGCGGAATTCGAATATTCCCGGGAACTGCAATTTGGGGTTGAGGGTTTGGACGGACTGGCAGGGTAGTCTTCAGTGAATGTGGCTGAGGAGTTTCGGTGCCGGGAAGCTCAAGAAGGAGCTTCTGCTTCCAGTGCCGCCTGCAATGCGAATAGAAACACCATAGAAACAAACACGTACAAGCCGAAACCCCAAGGTACAATCGCCACATCTGCAGCATTCTGCAATTCTGAAGCATTTATTACTTTGGACATAGCAAGTTTAGGGCCAATCTAGGGTCTAGTGATATAAGCTTCCGGCATGTGGGGTTTCGGCAGCATTTCAAACGGTAAATCCACCAACCACTCACTTTAACAAATGTGACCTACTCAAGTGCGATTTGCACAGCACTAACTCTTTGATACTGACTCCTCACTACGAGAAGCGTGTACTCACTTTACTTACACCTATACCTGCTCCTAACGACGACTATTGCTATAGTACTATGTGCTGCTACTTGCCACAATACTTCCTGCATGGCACTACAAACACATACTGACTACTTTTTCGAACTATGGTCTGCGCCAGGTGCGGGCAGCGCCGGCAGTCGACCCGGAAGCCCTCTGAAAGCATTAAAGCAGCGGAGAGGGCGCTCGCGCCGTACGAGCGCGAAAGTTAAATCGAAGATCCGTGGGGAGCGGCCGCGTACCACACTACTACTGCTACTGCCTGCTCCTGCTCTTACTCCTACTCCTACTGCTGCTGCTGCTACTGCTACTGCTATACAGCTACCACCCGCCACCGCCACCACCACCACCACCACCACCACCACCACCGCCACATTCACGTCCGAATATACTGCTGATGCTACGACGACTGTATGCTTTGACGATGATGGCCACGACCGCCACCGACAATGCCGCCACCACCACCAAAAGGGTGTTGCTTGTGTTGCCGCCTAATCTGGTGAGCGCTGCCGACCTTCCTCCTTAGATCGATCAAACGGGCCGATGCCTTCTACGACCTTTATAAGGTGTGGGCGTGCAGGGTGACTGCGAACAAAACGTCAGCCAAGGGGTCGAGAACCATGGTCCCCAGCTATCTGGATGAAATGCGTTCATGTTGTGTTTAACTGCGTCAACCAACGGCCTCTATCGGAAAGGCACGGTTAAGAGTCAAGCCTCATCCTTTCTCCCGATACTCATCGAGAAAGCCTTCCATGAAACCCGACGACCAAAACCCCTGAGGCTGCAGTCCAGGATGTTGCTCTCGTGTCCGCCGGCGGCGTCAAAGTGCCCTTGGTCTGTCCTGGTTTTGTTGCGTGGCTTTCTTCTTTTTGTCGGGGTTCTGCAGGGCCTCTACAAGGTTCAGCCGGGCTTCCTAAAGATTAAGGCTGGCACGTTTGCGTTGGGGCGTGAGGCTTCTTCGCGCTCGGTCCGGTCTTCTGTATCTTGTAATCTGGCAGCTTTACCGAACTAGGGCTTTGTGACTCGGAGGCCTGCGAGCAAAAATAGGATCAAAGACAAAGTCATTACAGAGGACCCCCCCGAAAGTGACCTGATGAGCCCGAACGTCTCACATTAAAGAGGCCACATAGACACAAAGCTGGGCCTGAGC